TTTGTGCTCCTTCCTGATTTGTGGCTAAACTACACAACGCATGCACATGTGATCAGTGACTAAGTTGAAGAATACCCCATGTGCAATATGGATCTAATGTATGATTTTTCGATATAATCATTGAATCCACCCAAAACGGATGCTGAAATTTTGAAGCCGGATTTTCGGTGTTTTTTGAATTTTTCTTATAATCAGGACGCGCAACCAGATGATGGACTAAGCTGATTATAGGATTGTAGAACTCGTGATTTTGCTTCGTTTAGTGTATACCTCATGAATCTTCTCATCGTAGCTTATTTGCAATTGAATTCCAGAGACAAAAATTTGGTGCGTAAATTTTTATAAAAAACCTATATTTTGAATCTAAATTTAAGAATGTCCACTCAAATGTCGTTGAACCCCACGTGATTTTAGTTTTTTTACGAGCCGAATCTAATGAGCCAAGTCATGTTCAATCCCGCCCAATAAAACGGCGGATATCGGTACCTTGAATGTAGGAAAACTGCAAAAATTTATTTGGATTAATTCGCGTATATAATCGCGTTTTTCTTCGAATTAATTTTACCAACATTCATCCTTGTATTATCATATTCGCGAATCTGTGTGAAAATAGGTCAAAATACATCGATACGCGAATAATATGCCTATTTTATCCAGAATTGATTGTTCTTTAACCAATTGGTTCTTAACCAATTCTTTTAAAATAGATGTACTTTTGTGTATTTTCATTGGAGATTACTGAAATCTGATGCGCATACAAATCTTATGCACGTTCCGTCATTTTGTGCCATTTTTAGGGTTTTTGCATAGAAACATCGAAAAATTCATAATTATTGGAAGAGATTCATTCGGTGTATACGAAAAACTGATTTCCACGAATACGCGAATTGCGTGATTTTTAATATTGATCATTTTTATGTACTGTAAGTGCAATATATTTAGTCTTTTTAACGTCGAAACTCTTATTAGATGAATCTACCGATATTTAACAATCATCTAAAAGAATTTTCAGAAGAAAGCGTAGTATATTTTAAAAGATTGAGGCAAAACCGTATTCCCTTAACCATACTAAAAAAACCGAAATTTCAAATAAACGTTTTGTCTTAATTAAAAAATTAATTTATTTTATTTTCAGATATCTTCATGCTTCTATTTGTTTTTAGCAGCTATTATACCGTATTTCCATGTGATTTGACAAGTATGCAAACAAAACTAATGTGTTTATCCATTTGTGAAGAAAATCGCGAATTACAAGAAATAGGAATTCATTTAATTTATATTTGAAATACAGGATTTTAAACCTCTATAACTTTTGTGCGCAGCATCCGAATTTGTGAATGCGAACATATTTCGAATCTGCATATTTTTCTTAACCTATGTACCTAAAATCAAAAATGTGCTCACAAAAAATTTTCAAATTTTTCTAATAGAATTTTAAAAGAATTTTGTTATTTCCCATATATACGCTTCCAATTAATACTTGTGGCCAATAACACAGTGACACATTTTTCAACTTTAAAATCTTGAACCAATCGAGACCCCCAAAATCTTGAAGCTTGTGATGGTGGAAGAAAATCCCTAGCTGGGTTTTGCATTATTAGCTAAGGTTTTCTTTTAAATTAATTTTTAAAATATTCGACTGGAGGTGGATTTTAACACAATTTTCGAATAATACGTACTTATTATTGAGTCTATATCTCGTGAACTATTCGAAATATTGCTTTTTTCTCTTAAGCAATATTCTTCCTCTTAATTAGATCTAAAATTTTTTTCTTAAGATAAAATCAATAAAACATCACCATCATACTGAAAATAGCACAACTGCAAAAAAAATAAAATTTCGACATACTTTTTCCATGTTTTTTTCACACTTATTTCAGAAACTGCTACTGACTCGACCAAACAATATATGACAAGAAGATAGCCAATAGCAAATCAAACAACTCTTCTTAAAACCCCGATTTCATTGGTTGACTAATTCACATAGTTATAGCCTCACAAATTCATCAAAATGAACCAAAGAAATTCACTCCCAATTGTATGTTTATAGAATGCTATGCTTTTTCAATAAATAAGTACAAAATTACAGTAAAAATTAAAATGTTTGGGCCCTTTAGTTTTTTCGAAGACATGTCGCAGCGATATATGCACAGGGTAAACACAGGAACTGGAGGTGCGACCTTAAAGTTGTCAATATTTTGGATGGCCAAAGTATTATTGCTTTTTGTGCCGTTGGGACACACGAGCAAAAGTCGATCATTACTCGCACACTTGGGAAAAACGTATGTCAGGAGTAAAAGATGCCACATTAGACATGACAGCAGAGCCACTAATAAAAACCGGTAAGGAAGTAGTAAAGTCGGACGGGGCCGACTATATGATACCCTTCACCTCTTTGGGTATATTCAACAGATGAACCCTAACAGACGTCGCATTTTTGAAGGACCAGTAAAATTAAATTGGATCCATAAACAAGTCGTTCTGCAACCGATACTAAATTTTTCATTTGGTCGGATATAGAAGCTATATCTAAATCTGAACCGAATTCAGGAAAATTAACACACATCATTCTAGACCTAATCCATTGTGCTGTGCCAAATTTCGTGCAAATCGAAAGATAAATACAGACTCTGGTGCACCATTTACCTTAAATAGGACGAAAATATATATGGGAGCTATATCCAAATCTAAAACGATTTTCACCAAACTTAGCACACATCACATCGTGCAAATCGAAAGTTATTTAGGGACGTTGGAGCACCATTTACCTTAAATCTGACGAATATATAAATGGGAGCTATATCTATATCTGAACCGATTTTCACGAAATTGAGCACACATCATTCTGAACGTAATTCAGTTCCCTATGCCAAATTTCATGCAAATCGAATATGTATAGGGACTTTGGTGCCCCGTTTACCTTAAATCGAACGAAAATATATATGGTAGCTATGTCTAAATCGGAACCGTGTTTTTCCAATTTCAATAGGGTTCGTCCTTGCGCCAAATAGACTAGCTGTGCCAAATTTCATCCAATTCGGATGATAAATGCGACCTGTACTTTGTTTACAATTTAACATGGACAGACAGGCAGACGGACGGACATGCATAAATCGACTTAGAAAGTGATTCTATGCATATTCTAAAAAGGAACCATGTGTCTATCTCGTTTCCTTTTGCCTGTTACAAACATATGCACAAAGACATAATACCCTGTACCACAGTGTGGTGAGGGGTATAAATATAAGTGACATATTGTTGCCACCGCTGCATATTACCCTGTGCATATATGGCAGCGACATGTCTTCGAAAAAAGCCAAAGGGCTCAAACATTTTAATTTTTACTTTAATTTTGTACCTATTTATTGAAAAAGCATAGCAATTTTTATTTCTATAAACATACAATTGGGAGTGATTTTTTTTGGTTCATTTTGATGAATTTGTGAGGCTATAACTATGTGAAGGAGTCAACCAATGAAATCGGGTTTTTAAGAAGAGTGGTTTGATTTGCTATTGGCTATCTTCTTGTCATATATTGTTTGGTCGTGTCAGTAGCAGTTTCTTAAATAAGTGTGAAAAAACATGGAAAAAGTATGTCGAAATTTTAATTTTTTTGCAGCTGTGCTATTTTCTGTATGATGGTGATGTTTTATTGATTTTATCTCAAGAACAAATTTTTAGTTCTAATTAAGAGGAAGAATATTGCTTAAGAGAAAAAAGCTATATTTCGAATAGTTCACGAAATATAGACTCAATAATAAGTACCTATTATTCGAAAATTGTTAAAATCCACCTCCAGTCGAATATTTTAAAAATTAATTTAAAAGAAAACCTTAGCTAATAATGCAAAACCCAGCTAGGGATTTTCTTCCACCATCACAAGCTTCAAGATTTTGGGGGTCTCGATTGGTTCAAGATTTTAGTGCTGCACAGTGTAATGCGTACATGAATTTATGGGACAGTCCAAAAAATGTAAATCAATTTGCACCACATTTTTAAAGAACAACAAAAAATTACAATAACACTGCTAAAGAACACTTTTTACAAAAAAATGCTAAGCAAGATTCCATACCCAAAGAAAACCCTAAATATTAAATAATGATGAAATAATAGACTATAAAGAAAAAAATCTGTGTCACTAATCAGATTCTATAAATTTAATAATTTTAAGGTATTTTTCGGAAAAATAGGGCTTACTATCTTCATATTTTACTTTTATTTTTCCGAAACAATGAACTACATTTTCTAAATAAATTCTGAACACGTAAAAATCCTATTTCTAAAGTAGCTGCACATTGATCACTCATCTCGTATGAAGATAATACCGTTAAATTTCAAATATATGTTCAGTGATGGTGAATTTATTATTTTGAACAGCACTATTTATTCTCGTCATGTTCGTATGTATATCTGTTGAAATCACATGTTTTGATATAGCCAAATGTGTCTGTAATAGATGGTGAAACACAACTGATGGATCCATGTTTTAATACAGCTATCATATAAAGATCTCTACCCATTACGGTAGGTCCAAGTGACAGAAAATTTAAAAGTATTTTAAAACATAAAAATCTCAGCCTGGCCGAACCTAATGAAGTTTTTACATGTTTTATCTTCTATTTCTGATTTTCATTTTACAAAGACATTTCAATTTTCATCTTCATTTAATTAGTGATAGCATTTTTAGCATTCGGTATGAAATATCATGAATGTACTTTTCTCCAATAAAGTTTCTTAATTTATTCTTGTTGTTGGAATGTATATTATGTACACACATGTACTCACTTGTCTATATAAACTTAAGTTTACCAAAAATTAAAACAATATCTCGATTTAAATAATTACAAATAGTAGCTAGTAACAAATTGCACGGAAATACACAATCATTATTTTATAAGTTATCTTAAACTGGCCAAGCATAGTTAAGCCACCATCACTCATACATCTAATACAGCTTGAAGTTGAAAATGATGGCGCACACTGACATCCAATACGTTAGTCTATTTTACGGATTTGATCTTAGCTTTCAATATAATGTATGCGGCTATTCTAAAGATCAAAATAATGATACCGAGGGCGATAATATCGTTCCAGAATTGATCGCCGGTCATAGTAATTTCATCCAGGAATTTTCTAGGGTAACTGTGCAATTGAAAAATAAAAAAAAGAAAATTATATACAAATTATACATCCATGTGTATAAGTTTTCTTGTTCACTAACCGATAATGACAATATGCTGCCTCTTCACATTCCAAAGTACCACGATCGTTGCCATATATGGCGCTTACGAAACCCTCCAGTCCGTATCGTAAGTACGATATATGACTTCCCCATTTCAAGTATGAAGGCAAATCACGCAACGTTACACCGAAACCAGCGAACATCATCATGGGAATAGTCAAAACTGGAGCCAAAAATGTTCCGTTCACAACATCAAACCACGCACCGATCATTAGTCCGAAACTTTGACCGACGAATACTGTTAGAACACTAATGGCAAAGAACATCCAGAAACGACTCCATTCCATGGGTTGATAACTCCACAAGTAAATGATGATAGTAAACAAAAGACTGCCAACGATCTAGAAATTAAATTATATTATGATTGTTTTTAATTACGAAAAAAAAATACAAATTCAGAAATAGCTTACCGATATGGGAAGATCAAGAAGCGTTATTGATGTATAATATGCCTTCAATGAATACCATCGATTAAAGTGTTCCTTTAGCAAAATGGACATTTCAATGGGGACTGAAATTTGTAAATATTCATTAGTTACATTTTAATGTGCTTAAATTAGAAAGACCTGATTTTTTTTAACAAATAGAAACGTAAACATATTTAAATAAAAAATAGATTCGATTTTCCGACCTAATTTTCAACTATACAATTGGTCTGTTCCGATACTGCAAGGATCAATTTTTTTACTACGATATATTTACTAAAAATACCAAAATAACTGAAATGTCAAGGTATTGGACATGATTTATAATTCTTATTAAGCATATACATATATATATACATATACATAACTCATACAGACTTGTTAGTTTCCTTCTTAATTACTCGATGTACGAAGACTTTTCGAACTAACCTCCGTGTCGACCCAAATGTTCTATATAACTTAACAAGTTGCACATTATTGAAAACTAATACAGTCCTAATTTTATTAAATTATTCTAAATAATAATAACTCCCCGATTTCCCCTTGCATTTTATAAACTCGCTGGATCTTAGCAAGGTTTTAATTTCCATGGTAAATATATTTGATTTTATACTTACATGTTAGAACCGTTAACATCATCGTTGTCATTGAATGGTGAATCAAAATAGCGAAAAGTAAATTATAATTGTCTATCACACGAGAGCCTTCCTTGCCGGAATTAGCATACACAGCGCCTAAAATGATGGCCACGAACACATTAACACCAATTCGAAGATGCGTCAGAGTTGTATCACGCTTAGCCTTGATGTAACCTCGGTGCATCAAAACCGACAACTGATTCATATAACTCGTGTCTTCTAGGGAACGTTTATTTGTCTTCTTGGCAACTGGATATTTTCTCATTAATTCTGTTGACTTTAATATCTTTTCGGGATGATCAAACCAGGTTAAACAGTTTCCATTTTCTGAAGCTGATTTCAGTGTATCTACTTTATCCTGACCATATTCACCGCATGCCAATTCAATTACTGTTTAACAAATGTTTTTTTTAATATTAAATTAAATTAATATTAATGCAAAGCCAATACTTACTGTAATCCGCAGGATTGTGATACATAGGGCAGGGTAAGTCGACGGCCTGCAAAAAGGGCACCAATTTTTCTGTGCTTCCTTGGTAAACACAGTTACCAGCAGCTAGAACATAGACTTGGTCAAATATTTGGAAAAGTTTAGCGGTAGGTTGATGAATAGTGCAAATAATTGTACGTCCTTGTTGGGCAAGCATTTTGCATAGTTCTAAAACTTTGGTACAGGAGCTGCTGTCGAGACCACTGTAAATAAACCGATATTTATTAGTCGTGATTTTGAATGTGTCTTTCTCAAATTTGTAATATGTATACACTTCTAGTTTCAAATTGGACATATGCCATTATATCATATTACTATTTAGTGTATAATTAAAACAAAATCTCATACATACACTGGTGGCCAAAACTAAAGCAACTGAAATTGAAAACTCAATAATTGACCTGTGACTTTTTTAAAAATAAAGTTATAGGCAAAGCTTTTGAGAAATGAGAAGGTAAAAGAAAACAAAATATATAAACTCAAAAAAAAAGAAATATTTTATGGAAAACTAAATTGACCCAATTTTCGCATGCTGAAAACTAAAACAACTTTTTAATTGTTCCTTATAAATAGTAGTGGACAGCATAACCATTATGCTTCATTACGGCAGCACACCTATGAGACATTCAATCAATAAAATGCTGAATTTGATCATTGGGTGTAATATTCCTTGCATCCTGAACCTTTCGGAAGAGGCTATGTCTGTTTGTTTTTATAGGGATTGTGTTGGCCATTATAAAACCCTAAAACTATTATAGACTATGTCTGTTTGTTTTTATAGGGTAAAGGTCTGATGATTGTGTTGGCCATTATAAAACCCTAAAACTATTATAGACTCTTCCCTATTATAAACTGCTTCCCAGTACCCTGGCAATAAAGTGGCCTTTCATTTTTCGACGAACTGATTTTCTTTCGTAGCCTTCCTCCATTCTTAACTTTCATTACTGATATAGTTGCGTAAAATAAATCTATTTCTCCTAAATCATTTTCTGTGATAAATTACTTTCACAATCACTGGTAATTAGATGTATCGGAGTCCAGTATTTGTTTCTAACCATTTATATATATATATATATATATGCATTTTTAACATTTTAGAGCTCATCTGTTTGCACTGTAGTTTTGCTTAAATTTTGTCCAAGCAAAAATTGAGACAATTTCCCTATCCATAATATGGCATTTATTAACCATCCAATTTTAGTTGCCTTAGTTTTGGCCTCCAGTGTATATATCAATGCGGGCACTTTTAATACATAAAAACTATGCAGGAACGCGAACCTTAAACTTTCAAAATATTTATCATAGAAATTTATCGTTATATATTTTACATTATATTATATATTATTACTATTAGATATGAAATTTCTAAATTTCCCCGATAATCATGTTTCATAAATTGGTTTAAATTTTTATAAATTTAATGAAAATTTCAATAGTTTTACGTTTCTATTAAATATAAATTTATTCATGGCAAAAAGGTATATATAGGTACAGTTGTGTGTGACCGCTTTACTGAAGGCTTATTGCTAAAATACTACACTGATAAGGAAAACTTTCACTGCTCATAATTTTAACTTTAGTTTTGAATCATTTTACGATTTAATAAAAAACCTCATAAAAATTTATCTTCACAATACGGATTATAAAGTCAAATAGAGACAAACAATCCGGATTATCGATATTTTACTGTACTTCAAATTTCAAAGAACTTTTTATGCATTTATACCAAAATCTCAGGTATTCAAAATTTCAAAGATATATCATGAAGATTCCGTGCAATTTCGTGATATTTTAAATATCAAATTAAAATATTTTGAGTTATTACAATCAAAATGCCAACATTAATATCCCGTGTATAGCGTAAGTCACTAAAAATAAATGTAATACTTACGTTGTAGGTTCATCTAAAAACATCACAGTTGGGTTATTTATGAGTTCCATAGCAATAGAGAGTCGCTTTTTTTGACCACCGGATAAACGTTTGGTCATAGTCTGGTCGTGATCATATAGCCCAAGCATTAACAAAATATCTTCAATCTACAAAAAAATACATTTCTCAGAAATTAATTAAACTTAGTTTGATGGGTGTAAACACAACTAGACTAAGTTATTCTATGTTTGACATGTACCAGGTGTCGAAATTATTAGTATTTTAACTCTAGAAAATAATAATAGAAATTAACTTAAACAAGATTCAATAAATTTATATGAACTATAAAGAATAATGTCAAAAGTTGCTTAGAAAATAACAATTAAAAATTTATCAGTCGGTTTTACTGACAGATATATACCCTCAGCCTATGGTATAGACCCCTATCGTAGGATTTAATGTAGATTTGGAATAATATTACAATTTGCAAAGTTTGGAACAAATCAGACATTCCACTATCTGGATTTAAGTTTTTTGTGCCCATTTGGCAGACATTCCATCGTTGTTGTATTAACAAATTTTCAAAATTTTGTACCAGAAGGAGTGGACCGATGGGATTCGATCTAGGCTAGGTAAAATATTACGATGTGTAAATTGATGAAATTGAATATTAAGTTCACTCATTTTTGCCGTAGCAAAGAGTATATATCCTCATTAACGATAATGTAAAGACCGAATTTATAGTATATGTAATTATAAAAAATTTAACTATTTATTTAAGATTATTTTATAACGGTATAAAAAATTGAAAAGTAAACTCTCAATAAAATGTGGTGTTCTGTATTAAATCGGTTTTCCTATTGAACACATATAAAAATTGCATACTTACTCTTGATTCCTTCTCCTCATATGATACATTGGGGCCTAATTTCAGATCGGCTGCTATGTGCATATTTTCATTAACAGTTAACAATGGTTGAAGGCGATCATCCTGGGTAATATAGCACGACATTCTTCTAAATGCAGCTAAAAATATATGCACATAGTTAAATATTTCAACAAGAATGTTCATGACTTTACTACTTACTCAAGTCTCGTCGTCTTCCATTGAGCAAAATTGAGCCATCTACGCCAGTTGTTTTAAATCCTGACAGTGCATCGAGCAATGTTGATTTACCAGCGCCTGAAGGACCCATAATAGCAATCAATTGACTGCCAGGGAATTTTCCGCTTACATTGTGTAAAATTTCCTTATTTCCTGAAATAAAAATAAAATATATGTTTATTACAGTTATTCCTTTTTTGCAGCCTCGTATCCCTGTATCATATTTTGACGAGTTTTCACATATGATTGGATAAAATCTTAACATAAATCATGATATTGTATACCTCGAAATGTCTTTAATTGTGAGAATCATAAAAATTTACGTTTTCTTTGTAAATCGTATATCAAACTTTTTGGATTGACCCTAAGTAAAATTGTAAAACAAACTGGTTTTTGCATACAAATATTATTTTTTCCATAAATACACAGAGAAATCCAAATTGAGCCACCTCACAATTAATCAGTTTGTGAAACGAAAATAAACAACTTCCTCAAATACACAATATCATTTTTTTTCTTTTTATTTCTTTAACCCTCAATTTATGGAGTAAGCCAATTTGACTCATTTCAAATTTGATAACTAAGTATTAACCTTAAATCATAGAACGATTTACTGTGTACATATTGAATGCAACTATCCTAAGTAGGATATGAACAAAATTTGACGTCGCCACGGTACTTTCTTTTTGAAAAATAACAGACTGTTTATGTATTTCCAAAGGAAAGTTTCTTTCGCGAAAGAAATGGTTCCAAATAGAAAAATTCTCATTTGATTCGAACGATCTCCACTAAAAATTATCAAAATGGGTCCACTTTTTGTGTAAACCCCCATATAACGGTATACTATTTTGGACAACTTTTTCGATCGAATTGAATGTAATTTGATATGTTGGGTCCTAATTGGCTGTAAAATCTTCCTGCCAAGTAATATCAATACTGGTCAATTTTTTTATATCAAAATGGTTAACACATTTGTTTCTCATAGAGCATCACTACCATATAATGATACCATTAGGTATTTCTTACCAGAGGTATTAAATTTTTCAATTTTTTGGTATGGCCATATATAACTTTGCCCTCTAAATAGCAGCATTTTGAGGATATTCCACCTTACCATGCTTTATGAATATCGGTCCCAATTTGGGAGTTTTGAGATTTCAGAAAAAATCCCCATTACAAGTTGCTGAAATATATAATTCGTGTGCATAGTGATTAATGACATTCGTTTAGAAACATTTTATATGTCCACTTTTTGGTATATACCCATCCATTACAGTATAAAACGCTACAGTATAATATAGTTCCATGCCGGGTGAGAAACTTCATTACAAATACATGTCAATACAATATGGTGTCAATACGTTAGAAATAAAAGAAGTTATTCAGTTTCAAATTGAAAATCCATGAAACCACGTTTTTCTCTATATTTACCGTTATAAAATTAATTTTCAAAGTGACCCAGAAAAACCAAAGGTATTTTCGTGGTACAGGGACTCCAACTACACAGAATTGGTACATTAGAACCCCTGAATTTTTTTTTTGTTATTTTGTACCACAGTGTTATTGAACATGGAAGGTAGATATTTAAGGTGTCCAGTTTAGGTAATAGTCCATACTAGGAAATAAATCAACTACACCTAAGTCTGTTTTTACACGGCCTTTTTGTACACGGTTTTGATATAACACGGTTTAAAAATTGAATATTTTTAATTTTTTTACATGATTTAATTCCATTTAGCACGATTTGTAATTTTATGTACTTAACTTTTTTTGTCAAACTTAATTTTTGCGAAGTATGTTCATATCACAAAAAAGTATTTATGAAAGAAAAAAGTCTGAAATCATCGATAGTATCAATAGTTTGCGAACACTAGCTTAAAGATTTAAGTGAATTCCCCTTTAGCGCGTACAAATAATTTTTACTGGTCAAAGCAAATGTGAATAGCACTAATTTAGGGGAATTCCCTTTTTACACGGGGGTTTTTTTACATGGCTTCTTCTGGAACCAATCTACCGTGTAAAAACAGACTTAGGTGTATATGTATTTTTCGGGTTATCAATAAGCTGAGTTCCTCCTCGAAATAATCAGTTTGGCATTTCCGTTGATTTGAATATTTTTGAAGCATTACACCATTTTTATATATAAATCGATTTGAGCATTTCATACAAATAACATTTAACAATAGAACTATTTTTTGTGCACAGATTTAATACAACTATCCTAAATAGGATATGACCAAAATTCGACGTCGTTACATTCTTGCATTCGGGCGATGCAGTACCTTCTTTCTGAAAAATAAAAGTCAAATATCAAGAAAAGCTAATGTAATATCGACGAAAAATCACTTTAAATGAAATATAAACTCTAAGACTCTGAAATATTTCCAATTTGCAGTCTAATATCATTGTTTTTCGTCATTCAATTATTTTTCTATGGAAACTATTTTTTTTTTTGTGACTGTTAGTGTATATGATTTGAAATAGAAATGTACTCAGAACCAACATCAAAATCACGTGTTTAGCTCTCTCTCTCTCTCATATTCGAAAACATCAAACACTTTTGAATAATTTGTCGCATTTAACCACAATCATACCCTTTGTACTATAAACAATTGATTTTATTAATATTATAATTTGGCAAGTATTTGAATTCATTGATAAGAAATGTTATGAAAACCTATTGCGGCGCAAAATATGTTCACACAAAAGAATAATATTTTAAAACAAATTTTAGTATCAAAAGGTTAATCGTAATTTTCCGTCGATTCGGAAACGTACGTCGGTGCTTGCCCTCCAATTACACATTTATAATTATATTTAGTTTTGGCCAACTGATTATGTCCAATTGTTTATTAGTCTTATCAGTTATCAAATAATGAATTGAAATTCAATGTTAAATTCAGTAACATTTTATTATTTCGGTTTTTTGTTCGCAAAACGTTTATCGTTGAACACAACGGCTGACTCACAAAAGATTGATTCTGTCGAATTTTGAAAATGATAAGATATGGCTTATAATTAGTTAAAACATTATTAATATGGAGTCGATACACACTTCTACATATTTTTTTTTTAAATGAAAATTTCCATTTCAAGTGTTGGATAATGAGTTTTATAAATATTATCACGATAATAGCTCTTTCATATTTTATATACACGTAAATGTGTGTAGTTTATGGCGCTATCAATGTAAAAATGGTCAGTAATAACATAAATAAAATTCACAAACGTTGAAAGATAATAATTTGAAGATAATGACCACATTTTTATAGACCACACATAAAATGTTGTGGTAAAAATAATTCTTAGGGATTTATATGTTTTCTTACCTTTTCTGAATCCCAAGTTAACGGTCAATGAAAGGTTGTTGAATTGCATATCAACCGGCTCTCGCGATGGTAAATTCGAAAAACGGCCCATATCCTTTTCCTCCAGTGTGTTGCCGTTAAGCGTTGGTGGATGTGTGTCGACAGGGGAATTTGCCGGGGTTTTACTCTCACGTCTGCTACCGTTGCCATTTGCTGCCTTCAATGGCATAGTGGTAGAATTATAGACTGGTTGCATTTCACTAACAATTTCTATACCGAGGCCGACGCTGGCACCCGATGTGGGGCCAGTATTGGCAAAGAATTGTTCCCTTGCCGAAATCATGTGTACAAACTTATGCAACTATCAGGATAAAGAGTTGCAACAGCTGACGAATATTTTCGAAAAATGTTTGTCTAAAAATAAAATAAAACAAATTATTTCGCTTCAAAGAAAGAGTGCAGTTAAAAGAGAAATTATATTAACAATTATTGCGTGCATATAACAAAGAGATATATCTTGGTCGTATTATTTTAATAAGTTTGTAAACGTACAATCGAGAACATTTTAGCTTTTAATGTTATGATTTGTAATCAATTTGTGCTGTCGTTGCTCAGATTGGTTGTTGTTGGTCCTTGAGAACCTTCATATGGTCCAGATTTATAATTGCAGAGTTCAGTAAATTTTTGTTAAATGATTTGCAACTTCAATGGATTGGATATTCACTAATTAACAAATAAACACTTTCACAAGGAACACATGTTTTATTTCATTAACAAAACCTCATCCATATTTTAAAATTTTCTATTGTAAAACGGCATTTACATTGGAACTTTTTGCGGGGTTAACCTACTTTATGAGGATTTATTTGACAAATAGGCAATGGAATTGACAATTGAAACCTACTGGGTTAACTAAATCCGGTACAATGTAAACGTACTATAATATATTTGTAGTTATCCAATTCGGGATTAAAACCATACATTTTTACTATTAATTGCATCTATCACAACATTTATTTTTAAAACATAAGAAATGGGAACAAACAAAAACTAGAATCTCATAATATTATATGATCTGCACTTTACAACTATCACTATCTACGAAAAATTTACAATGTCTTCCACAACAGAATTTTCAATTGTTAAATGTTGAACCTCGTCGATCTCGCGAAAATAGAAATCAGTTATTGGTTTAAAATGCATTTGTTATCGCTAATTAAAGTGTTAACAAATTTATAGTATTACATATATTGTTGCTAGTTAATGAAATGCTGAGAATAATCGAAAAATTATTACCCAATGCTTTTTTTTTCACTATTGGTTCAATGGACGGTACTTTTATACTCGACGTTGACAATATTAATGTATTTCCTTTCACTGTGTAAAAATATTTCTCATTTTTTTATAAATCAATGAATAACTACAATAAATGAAGGCAGATAATTTATATATTTTTACATGGTATAATAATAAAAGGTAACAGCAAGTGTTGTTGTACAACAAACGATACAACAACCGCATGGAAATTTGTTGTTGTAAGTTATAGTAGTGTCAACGTCATTTGACAGAAAAATGTAAACAAAACAAAAAAATATCAATAAATTATATTTATTTTGAAAATGAAATATTTTCGAATCCTCAAAATAAAATTTGAAAAGCAAAAAATTTATGTTTCTATTGCTTCCACATCTTTCCTAAAATTGAGCCATTGTCACTTATATGTGTAACACATATGAAAATGCAGGGAATTGCGAGTTATTCCTCGAAGAAAGATTTGCTTCCTCAAACTTTCCCAGCATGCAGATTGAATAAATTGAATACGGGAGCACATTTAATAAAGAATAATTTCAAATTGTATGCGTTCCCAATATTCCTGTTGGGCGATTTTTAAAAACATAATTTGTCAAATTCATATTGACACTAGTATTACGTTGGAATCAAATTTTAAACATTGTTTTTAATTTAAATTTTTAAACATTGTTTTCATACAAATCTTAACTCTTATAGCGAACTACGGATATAGCGAACTTTTTTATAACGAACTATTTAGTCGGTCCCAACACTAAAACAGATTTAAAATATTTTTGGTCGGTTATAACGAACTTTTCACAAATATACGTAATACTAAGCGCTGACAATTCTCACAAAAGTTAATTTTTAGGCTAACGCTGGGAACCTTAACAAAAAATGTCAGCTGTAATATCAGGTTCATCAATGAAAAAGAGAAGCGGCTTAATAATTGTCAAAAAGGACACAAAATCTACCAGTTTTTAATAGAATATGTATTTTCTGCCAAGCCTTTTTTTGCCTTTACTTGGATATAAGGAATTTCTTCTATAACGAACTAGTTTGCTTGGCCCTTACTAGTTCGCTATATCCGTACTCGACTGTATAAATAGTGGAAGCTCTATAGCGATTTCGACAGATGGACAATAATACGTGGGTATTTCAGGGAAAAAGTAAATCAAATTCGGAGAATTTTTTCTTTATTGATATTTAGATACGTGAAATTACGGCAAAAAGTACAAAGAAATACAAAATTTGTCTTTTTTTGGTCTTAGCATAAATACTAATTTAACGGCTACAGAAGCAGATACTGCTGAATAAAAACTGATACACCCATAGTTCCTTTAGAGAATATGCATAGAATCAATACAAAAATGTGTATAAGTCATAAATTTTTTAACCGATTTTTTGATTTTTCTCATTTTTGAAACCTTATTTCATTTTCTTCCTCGTAATATAATAACACTTATACGGCTTGATATCATAATTTCATCGTACAGTCCGAAGAAAAATAAATGTTGTCTTTTCATGCGTATTTTTTCACATTTCAACCACTGTAACTCAGCCAATCCCCAACCGATTTACCAAATATATATCTTGTTTGAAAGGAAAAATTCTACTCTTCGAAAGAAAAAAGAATAATATAAATTCCTTAGAAATACAATTTTCGAAGTAACCCAGAAAACCAAAGGTATTTTCGTGAACTCCAACTAAACAGAATTGGTACATTAGAAACCCTGAATAATTTTCGTGTTGCACAGTGTAATGCTTGATATCTCTTATTCATGTAAATAATATAGTTTTCCAATTATTAGGAATGAATAGAGCAATGTATATTATTAAAGGAGTATTGTAAAAAATGTAATTGTTTTTAATTTATTTAACATTTAAATTTTGATTTTGCCTCTGAAAGTCGTGTAAGTGACCGCGGAAGTGCCCATATTCACGTCCAACTGAAAACTAATATTGTCATTTTAAGAAATAGTGGTTGTAATTCATACAAATATACCCTGGCAACTGAATTCTATAGCCAAACCAATAGTTATGTTTAAATGGTTTCCATTTGTGAAAAATGTATTTCATAACTTTTATTATTACGAATTGACGAAGTGATGTATTCAATTATATACATCTTGTTAAACTTTTTAATTGCAAAAAAAGATATTGACATTTTAATAAACGTGGAATTATTATAATACCATGTGTATGTAATACAATGAAACTTTTTTAATTGTTAAACTCTGAATATTCGTACCTTTGAAACCTCGTAGTTAATAGAAACAGGTTATTGTACCTATATTATTTAAAAGTATAAAAACAATTACATATAATAAATGTTGAAAAGTATTTTGAAAACGTTTTAGTTGAACGAGTAATAACCATGATGTACGTCATAAATGGACAAAAGTCACTTGCGTCGAAAGAAAATATAAATTACTGGAGATTTCAAAAAAATATAACATTTGTGAAATCGTATTAAACGAATTATAAATGTAATTGAGAAAATATCAACTACAACTCAGAAGTTCCATTAGTTATTAAAATTTTTCATTTAACAAATTGTCATAGCACTAAATATAGTTTAATTGATCGAGTTTCTAAAGGTTTGAAAAATTATATAATTTTATGCTTCCCATGTTCATTTCATATGACTGCATGTTTGACGTTTTGTAACCATTGTATTAACTGTTCTTATATATATATAGACTGAGTTAAAATATTCTACTCACTACTCTTGATTCAAATAATTATATTTCAGCTTGCTATATACTGAAGGAGACACATTTTTTTTTTTTTTGCAAATCAATAAACAAATACAAAGAATTTGTTGCATAAAAACTGTCAAAACTTGTATAAATGCGACAAAAATATAAACATTCTGCTCTTTGTACATATTAATAAGTTTTTCTCGCCAAGGTGTTCGCAATGCAAATTAGATTTGTAAAAAGGATTAATTTCCATTTGCGAACATTTTATTTGTATATTACATTTTATATTATTTATTTGACAGCCGAAAACCTACAAATTCTCACACGCACCATACCACCCACAAAATGGAAATATTGCTGAGATTTGACTAGGAAGATGTCCATCTTCAAAATAATAATATACTACTTTTCATTTATTCTGAAGTTTGAAAGATCAGTATGTTGCGTAGGTAATTAAAATAAATTTAAATTTAGCAACATTTTCATAAGCCATTATCTCTCAACAAAACATGGATTGTTAATAATACGTTCGATACTCCTACATTGCTTATAATATTGAGAATTTGTTTTTATTAATTTACGTCAACGATTGTAATAAATGAAATGCGGTTACAAAAACAATATCAGCAAATTTACAAATACTGCAAAAAGACGTTTGCAATAATTTCAAAAATGAAGCAATTATTCATTATTCCGCTATAATTGATAAACAAAGAATGAACAGATTGTGGAAGTCCATCTCAATCCATTGATTGTTCATTGGCATTATTTATTGTTTTTGTTTTTATTTATATTTTGTACCTTGATCTTTTACACCCTACATATGTATATATGTACATAATAACATGTCCAGCTGTTAAAAAAACGAATGAAGATACGAATACTTAACCTAAAACCGTTACACAGTTATAATTTTGATTATTTATATTTATTTACTATAGATTCACTTCAGGTACCTAACATCGAGTAATTTACATCTTGTTGGCATTAGAAAACATTAATTTGCTTTATTACCACCCTGCGATTGCTATTACTTACTATTTCGTTGTTTCTTTATATAAAATTGAAATATTTCTAAAGGGAAACATTGAGCACATAACCACATATGAAATGCATAATATTATACATATGTACATCCTTTATGGACATACTATTTGTATACCCTTCACCACACTGTGGTACAAGATATGTATTATTTCATTGTGCATATATTTTCTTTTGATAATATGCATAGAATTACATTCTGAGTCGATTTATACATGTTCATCCGTCTGTCTGTCCATGTTAAATTGTTAACAAAGTACAGGTGACATTTACGATCCGAATTGGATGAAATTTGGCACAACTCATT